CTTTTCCCTCATCCACAGAGCCAGTTATCTCGTCATAGAAGGCAATTAGATTAGTCAGGCATGACTTGCCCTTGGTGAATCCATGCTGACTCTTCCTGATCACTTTCCTCTCCTCGAAGTGCTTCAAAATTGATTCCTTGAGGACCTGCTCCATGATTTTCCAGGGACCGAAGTGAGGCTGACTGTAGTTCCCAGGATCCTCCTCCTTCCCTTTCTTAAAGATGGGCACTACATTAGCCTTTTTCCAGTCATCCGGGACTTCCCCCGATCACCATGAGTTTTCAAAGATAATGGCCAATGGCTCTGCAATCACATCCGCCAACTCCTTTAGCACTCTCGGATGCAGTGCATCCGGCCCCATGGACTTGTGCTCGTCCAGCTTTTCTAAATAGTCCTGAACCACTTCTTTCTCCACAGAGGGCTGGTCCCTACTCCCCATGCTGTGCTGCCCAGTGCAGTAGTCTGGGAGCTGACCTTGTTCGTGAAGACAGAGGCAAAAAAAGCATTGAGTACATTCGCTTTTTCCACATCCTCTGTCACTAGGTTGCCTCCCTCATTCAGTAAGGGGCCCACACGTTCCTTGACTTTCTTCTTGTTGCCAACATACCTGAAGAAACCCTTCTTGTTACTCTTAACATCTCTTGCTAGCTGAAACTCCAGGTGTTATTTGGCCTTCCTGATTTCACTCCTGCATGCCTGAGCAATATTTTTATTCTCTTCCCTGGCCATTTGTCCAATCTTCCACTTCTTGTAAGCTTCTTTTTTAAGTTTAAGATCCGCAAGGATTTCACTGTTAAGCCAAGCTGGTCGCCTGCCATATTTATCATTTCTTTCTACACATCGGGATGGTTTGTCCCTGTAACCTCAATAAGGATTCTTTGAAATACAGCCAGCTCTCCTGGACTCCTTTCCCCCTCATGTTATTCTCCCAGGGGATCCTGCCCATCAGTTCCCTGAGGGAGTCGAAGCCTGCTTTCCTGAAGTCCAGGGTCTGTATTCTGTTGCTCGCTCTTCCCTGTGTCAGGATCCTGACCTCAACCATCTCATGGTCACTGCCTCCCAGGTTCCCACCGACTTTTGCTTTCCCTACTAATTCTTCCTGGTTTGTGAGCAGCAGGTCAAGAAGGGCTCTGCCCCTAGTTGGTTCCTCCAGCACTTGCACCAAGAAATTGTGCCCTACACTTTCTAAAAAGTTCTTGGATTGTCTGTGCACCACTGTATTGCTCTCCCAGCAGATATCAGGGTGATTGAAGTCTCCCATGAGAACCAGGGCCTGCGATCTAGTAACTTCTGCGAGTTGTGGGAAGAAAGCCTCGTCCACCTCATCCGCCTGATCCGGTGGTCTATAGCAGACTCCCACCATGACATCACCCTTGTAGGTGTTTGTCTCTGTCTGAGGGGTTGGAGCAAATGTGGTTGTATCTTAGTGCTTGGCTGTAGACAGTGGATCTTGTGGTCTGGATGAAAGCTGGGAGGCATGTAGGTAAGTATAGTTGTCAGTAGATTTCCGGTATAGGACATCCCATGTAGATTGGTCCAGGCTGAAGTTGATGGTGGGATGGAAATTGTTGAAATCATGGTGGAATTCCTCAAGGGCTTCTTTTCCATGGGTCCAGATGATGAAGAAGTCATCAATGTACCACAAGTAGAGTAGGGGCATTAGGGAACGAGAGCTGAGGAAGCGGTGTTCTAAGTCAGCCATAAAAATGTTGGCATACCGTGGGGCCATGTGGGTACCCATAGCAGTGCCGCTGACTTGAAGGTATACATTGTCCCCAAATGTGAAACTTATGGGTGAGGACAAAGTCACAAAGTTCAGCCACCAGGGTTGCCGTGACATTATCGGGGATACTGTTCCTGATGGCTTGTAGTCCATCTTTGTGTGGAATGTTGGTGTAGAGGGCTTCTGCGTCCATAGTGGCCAGGATGGTGTTTTCTGGAAGATCACCCATGGATTGTAGTTTCCTCAGGAAGTCAGTGGTGTCTCGAAGATAGCTGGGAGTGCTGGTAGCGTAGGGCCTGAGGAGGGAGTCTACATAGCCAGACAATCCTGCTATCAGGGTGCCAATGCCTGAGATGATGGGGCGTCCAGGATTTCCAGGTTTATGGATCTTGGGTAGCAGACAGAATACCCCTGGTTGCGGTTCTAGGGGTGTGTCTGGGTGGATTTGTTCTTGTGCTTTTTCAGGGAATTTCTTGATCAGATGGTATAGTTTCTTTTGGTAACCCTCAGTGGGATCAGAGGGTAATGGCTTGTAGAATGTGGTGTTGGAGAGCTGCCGAGCAGCCTCTTGTTCATATTCTGACCTATTCATGGGGACGACAGCACCTCTGACATAATCAAAAAGGCTGACAAAGGAGTTGTTTTTGAGGCTGTGGATGGCAGTGTGTTCTGCATGGCTGAGGTTATGGAGCAAGTGATGCTGCTTTTCCACAATTTCAGCCTGTGCACGTCAGCGGAAGCACTATGTAGAAGTCCAGTCTGTTGTTTTGACCTTCAGGAGGAGTCCACGCAGAATCCTCCTTTTTGTAGAGAGTGAGAGCATGTGTGATGTGACAGGGTCAGGCTAGATGGCTACAGAAGAGTAATAGAAGGCATATATTAGTCCCAGATTAAGTCTATCCCTTTTCCCTGGGTAAGGTGATGGGGCAGTTCCAGAACAAGCAGGAACTTGCTGGAACCAGTTAAGCCAGGCAGGCTAATTAGGACACCTGGAGCCAATTAAGAAGCTGCTAGAATCAATTAGGACAGGCTGGCTAATCAGGGCACCTGGGTTTAAAAAAGGACCTCACTTCTGTTAGGGAGAGGCATGTAAGGAGCTGGGAGTGAGAGGACGTGCTGCTGGAGGACTAAGGAGTACAAGGGTTATCAGACACCAGGAGGAAGGTCCTGTGGTGAGGATAAAGAAGGTGTTGGGAAGAGGCCATGGGGAAGTAGCCTAGGGAGTTGTAGCTGTCATGCAGCTGTTACAGGAGGCACTCTAGACAGCTGCATTCCACAGGGCCCTGGGCTGGAACCCAGAGTAGAGGGTGGGACCAGATTCCCCACAAACCTCTCAACTCGTGATCAGACACAAGAGTTGACCTGGACTGTGGGTTCCACCAGAGGGGAGGTCTTTGGGCTGTTCCCTGACCTACGTGGTGGATCAGCAGAGACTGCAGGTGTTGTTGTTCTCTTTTTCCCCACGCGTGCCAGCGATGAGGTTATCTGAGTGAATGGCAGATTTGAGCCATGGAAGTGGCCAAACTGAGGGCTGTTGTGAATCTCGGAGGCGAGCAAATCCGCCAATGAGTGTGGGACCCACCAAGGTAGAGGAAGAACTTTGTCACAATATCTATCTTCCTACTGTATTTTCCACTGCATGCATCTAATGAAGTGGATTTTAGCCCACGAAAACTTATGCTCAAATAAATTTGTTAGTCTAAGGTGTCACAAGTACTCATTCTTTTTGCTAACACAGACTAACACGGCTACCACTCTGAAACCCGTCACCAAATATAAACAGGTGTCTCTCGCCTAAAACACAGACCAAGATTTTTCAAAACTAGGTGCATTAAGGCACCTAAATAAGGGGCTTGACTTTGAAAGGTCAATGAGTGGTGGGTGTTCAGCATTTTTGAAAGTTGGGCCATTTATCCAAGTGGATGAATTCAAAAGCCTAATTTTAGGCATCAACTTTTGAAAATTTTGGCCTTAATATCTGCAGGACACAATTATGTACCAATGAAATCAGTGTGAATGTCACCATTGACTTCAACAGGATTGGGATCAAGCCCTATGAGTAAGCAGAGTAATACAGAATACACTAATGAACAAACACCAAATGGAATGTTGTCATTATAGCCATTATCTTGACAGAATTTTTCAAGATAGTTTGAAAACAGGAAGAAAGGAATGAACAAACTTTGGCTTTTACACTCAGTCTGTGCTCACGTTATTAATGATGTCTAAATTTGATAGGCAAGACAATTGTTTTATTATTTTAGGTCTTGCAGTTTAAGAAATATATAAATGAAATTTCAACTTATCTTTAATTACAATAATATACCCATGAGTCACATGATGTATGGGTCAAGTTCTACATGCAAATAGGCTGAGGGAAAGAAATCAGATTTTAATTTATTTTTTTGAGAAAATGGAAGTGCTTTGTGCATTGATATATGTTCAACTGATCACACAAATGAGTTGTTGTGTATTTTCTCGAACTCTATGAAATTAATGCACAACTACTTCCAAGTATTTTAAAATGTTCACACAATTTGTCACACAACCAAATTTCACCATATTTATGAGGATTAATATGTTTTATAAATCTTCTTGTTTTACGAAGACTCCAGGTTTCAAGCAAGGGCTTCTGATGAAATAAATGTATTTCAAATTGATATTTTGTTTTTCAGGGTAGATACAAATATCTCTTCTCACTCACCTTGAGATTTTCCTTCCATATAATTCTTCAAAAGTCAAACTTACCACATCATAATCTATACACAAAAGAGTAAGAACTTACCTAAACTAGTAATTTCACATCATCTTCCACTCTATTCTTTTATGCATTGAGAAACACACTTTAAATAAATACAGTACAAGTATTTATAACTCAAATGTCAGTATGAAAAGTTAAGAACCACAGGGACCCAGCCACAAATGGACTCCAGTGTTAAACCTCTTTGTATTATTAATAATAATTATTTTTCTGGCTAGCAAAGTAGTTCGGGAGTTAACATATTCAACTTTATAAAGCAAGATCTGTTAGCAATTTCCTACAAAGATAATAGCCAAAAATAGAACGTAACTTGTAAACCTATTTCATCTGAAAACGGATCACTTAAACAGAGGAATCAACTTACTGTTTAAAATAAATATCTCATTTTTCACTTTTCAGTCCTATTCTAGAAACAAGAAATCTTCTCAATCTTATACAATTGTGCTTTCATGTTTCTCTGCATCTCACAAGAAAGGCACATTAACAGATCAAAAAATTAAAAAAGAAGAGGTTTACCTGTATTCCTGTCTGGTAAAATACAGCAATGCTTCTGCAAAATGCCAGGCAGAACCTATTGCAACATAAAAAAAAAGAGTTACTACTATTTGAGGGAAAGGTGACGTTTATTATTCAACATAAAGTAAATAGTTCTTATAATGCTCTGCGAATCCAGCGGTTCAGTGGAAGTTCAGCTGTATAAAAGCTGAAGTCAATAGGAGTTTTGAACGCCTGATGGCCACAATGAGGATAGTAGTCTCCTGTCAGCAACAACTTCCTTGCAAAACTATACTCCCCCACCTCCCCATGAGTTTAATATTGGGTTTATCATCAAGTATTGACAGACAAGAACATTAAGTGCCTGAGCTGGTATGTCTCCATAAAAATTTTGCATAGCTTGTCTTCAAGGTCATCTAACAAACTGCAGCAAAGATGATATGAGAAATATACTCAACTAAAAAATAATACTCAGATCAATAGATAGAGTATAATCTTCTCTCAATGGGCAATCATTCCCCCTTCAGCTCCTATTACTCTGACACCTCTAAAGAGGTAATATGATGAATGGATAAAGCAAAGGACTGGGCACCAGAAGATGTGTGGATTCTAATCACCCCTTAGATACTGATTCACTATGTGACCTTGAATTAGGGTTGACAACAGTCCCTTATTACAAGGGACATTCCTTATTTTTTCATCTCTGTACAACAAGATTGGGAGCTGATGAGTGCTGCAAGCAGCAGCAAGAAATGCCCCTGGTGAATGTTGGTGAGTATTGCTTATTAGTACAGTAAAGCTCAGCGTTATGAGCACCTGAGTTACAAGCTGACTGGTCACCCACACACCTCATCTGGAACTGGAAGTATGCAATCAGGCAGCAGAAAGAAAAAAAGCAAATAATGTACAATACTGTGTTAAACGTAAACCACTAAAAAAAAACAAAAACACAGATTTGACAAGGAAAGGCAACTGTTTCTGTGCTTGTTTCATTTAAATTAAGATTGTTCAGTTTTAAACTTTTGCAAGGACAGCCATAATATTTGTTCAGAGTTAAACATTTCAGTTACAACCAACCTCCATTCCCGAGGTGTTTGTAACTCGGAGGTTCTACTGTAGTAGTATTTATAATTAATAATGATGATGAGGAGGAGGAGGATGATATCAGAAGGAGAGGTGAGGCAGGGGTGCTAAGAAAACAGTCCCTTATTTTTTGTTTTAAAAATACAACGTTGGCAACCCTACCTTTGGCAAACCACTGATGCCCACAGTAAGAAATGGCCTCTTATTTTAGAGGCCTTTTTTCTGGACATAGGACTTTAGATACCTAAGGCTTGATTTGCTGAGGTGCTAACTTTGGGCACCCATTGCAGGAAGGGAGGGACGTACTGGATGCAGCTTCCTGCAGCCCCCATTGGCCGGGCACAGCGAACCGCAGCCAGTGGGAGCTGTGATCGGCCGAACCTGCAGACACGGCAGGTAAACAAACCGGCCCAGCCCACCAGGGGCTTTCCCTGAACAAGCGGCGTCCCAAGTTTAGGAAACACTGCCTTAGACCATCCCATACTTTGCTGCACTTTGGGCTACCCACATTTGCCAGCCTGATACAAGAACCAAAAAATCATGGTCAGAATTAGAGATCACTTTTGAAAATGTTGACTTATCCTTGTGCCTTGGTTTTCCCATACATACACTTAAGAACGTAAGAGCTGCCATACTGGGGCCGGCAATGGTCTATCTTGCCCAGTATCACGTCTCTGGCAGAGAGCATACCAAACAGGACCATTACAAAATGATTAACCCCCTTGTCTTCCACTCTTGGCTTCTGGTAGTCAGTGGTTTAGGGATGCACCGAGCTTGGGGTTGTGTTCCTTACCATCTTGGCTAGCAGTCATTGACAAACCTATCCTCCAGGAACTTCACTTCTTTTTTTAAGCCAGTTATACGTGAGGCTATCACAACATCCTGTGGCAATGAGTTCCACAGGTCAGTGTTTTATGTGAAAAGGTACTTCCCTTGTTTGTATTAAACCTGCTGCCTAGTAATTTCATCGGTTGATCCCTTGTTTTTGTATTGTGTGGATAAAAACTTCTATAAAATCATGAATAGAGAACTCTACCATAACCCCCCTTAGTCATCTCTTTTCTAAGATGAACAGCCCTAATCTTTCTAGTCTTTCCTCATATGAAAGCCATTGTCTACCCTTGATCAACTTTGTTGCCCTTCTCTGAATCTTTTCCAGTTCCACTGTATCATTTCTGAGATGGGGCAAACAGAACTGGACATAACATTCAAGGTGTGGCATACTATGGATTTATATATAGGGGCATTACAATACTTTGTTAGCCTTATCCATAGTCTTGTAGAATCCTTTGAAGGATTCTAACAGACTGGTGAAACATGAATTTCCTTTACAAAAGTGTGTTGCCTCTTTCCCCAACAAATCATGTTTATCTATGAACCTGATCATTCTGTTCCCTAATATAGTTTCTACCAATTTGCTTGGTACTGAAGTTAGGCTTACTGGCCTGTAATTGACAGGGTTGCCTTTGGAGCGCTTTTTAAAAAAAATCAGTGTTACATTAGCTATCTTCCAGTCATCTGGTACAGCAAGTTATAAACTCAGTGGTGCTGTGTTCTGGAACTTCCCCTAATATAGAATCTTCTGAAGAGCTGTTATACACTGAAGTGGTTTCAGTAAAAAACTGCCTTTTCTTTAAAACTGAGAATCTGAAAGGTCACCAAGGGAAAGACATTTTTTTTCTAATTGTTTGGATGTAGAGGGGATCTGCATGATCTAAAAGATGTAATATTGGGTCTCTCAATTTATCCCTGACATTGCTGAGATGAACCCCAAAAGCCATCTGATTCAACATCTCTGCCCTCTTTTGGCTAGCACAGAAAGCTTGTCACAATCCCCAAGATGACAGGTTTCAGAGTAGCAGCCGTGTTAGTCTGTATCTGCAAAAAGAAAAGGAGTACTTGTGGCACCTTAGAGACTAACAAGTTTATTTGAGCATAAGCTTTTGTGAGCTACAGCTCACTTCATCGGATGCATACAATCCCCAAGATGACACACTTCATAATAAAGATTGTCTGTTTAGTGAGGAGTTCTGGCCTCCCTCTGAGCCAGAGGGGGAGGAATGACTGCCACCACACTACACTGTTTGCAAAGGACAGGACACTCTGGTACACTATTACCTCATATGGAGAGAGAAAATACCTTTACTTGTTTAAAGATGGACAAGATTTCTTATAAACTGAAGATACAGGAACATCAAATGTCACATGTCACGTGTGAGACTACTAGTTGCATCTCCTGTCTTATTGTAAAAAGAAAAGGAGTACTTGTGGCACCTTAGAGACTAACCAATTTATTTGAGCATGAGCTTTCGTGAGCTACAGCTCACTTAGAATCATAGAATCATAGAATATAAGGGTTGGAAGGGACCCCAGAAGGTCATCTAGTCCAACCCCCTGCTCAAAGCAGGACCAATTCCCAGTTAAATCATCCCAGCCAGGGCTTTGTCAAGCCTGACCTTAAAAACCTCTAAGGAAGGAGATTCTACCACCTCCCTAGGTAACGCATTCCAGTGTTTCACTACCCTCTTAGTGAAAAAGTTTTTCCTAATATCCAATCTAAACCTCCCCCACTGTAACTTGAGACCATTACTCCTCGTTCTGTCATCTGATACCATTGAGAACAGTCTAGAGCCATCCTCTTTGGAACCCCCTTTCAGGTAGTTGAAAACAGCTATCAAATCCCCCCTCATTCTTCTCTTCTGCAGGCTAAACAATCCCAGCTCCCTCAGCCTCTCCTCATAACTCATATGTTCCAGACCCCTAATCATTTTTGTTGCCCTTCGCTGGACTCTCTCCAATTTATCCACATCCTTCTTGAAGTGTGGGGCCCAAAACTGGACACAGTACTCCAGATGAGGCCTCACCAATGTCGAATAGAGGGGAACGATCACGTCCCTCGATCTGCTCGCTATGCCCCTACTTATACATCCCAAAATGCCATTGGCCTTCTTGGCAACAAGGGCACACTGCTGACTCATATCCAGCTTCTCGTCCACTGTCACCCCTAGGTCCTTTTCCGCAGAACTGCTGCCTAGACATTCGGTCCCTAGTCTGTAGCTGTGCATTGGGTTCTTCCGTCCTAAGTGCAGGACCCTGCACTTATCCTTATTGAACCTCATCAGATTTCTTTTGGCCCAATCCTCCAATTTGTCTAGGTCCTTCTGTATCCTATCCCTCCCCTCCAGCGTATCTACCACTCCTCCCAGTTTAGTATCACTTCATCAGATGCATACCGTGGAAACTGCAGCAGACTTTATATATACACAGAGAATATGAAACAATACCTCCTCCCACCCCACTGTCCTGCTGGTAATAGCTTATCTAAAGTGATCATCAGGTTGGGCCATTTCCAGCACAAATCCAGGTTTTCTCACATCCCCCCCACCCCCATACACACACAAACTCACTCTCCTGCTGGTAATAGCTCATCCAAACTGACCACTCTCCAAGTTTAAATCCAAGTTAAACCAGAACATCTGGGGGGGGGGGGGTAGGAAAAAACAAGAGGAAATAGGCTACCTTGCATAATGACTTAGCCACTCCCAGTCTCTATTTAAGCCTAAATTAATAGTATCCAATTTGCAAATGAATTCCAATTCAGCAGTTTCTCGCTGGAGTCTGGATTTGAAGTTTTTTTGTTTTAAGATAGCGACCTTCATGTCTGTGATTGCGTGACCAGAGAGATTGAAGTGTTCTCTGACTGGTTTATGAATGTTATAATTCTTGACATCTGATTTGTGTCCATTTATATTCTTTTACGTAGAGACTGTCCAGTTTGACCAATGTATATGGCAGAGGGGCATTGCTGGCACATGATGGCATATATCACATTGGTGGATGTGCAGGTGAACGAGCCTCTGATAGTGTGGCTGATGTTATTAGGCCCTATCAGAAATCAGGAAATGGCCCGACTTGATTATCATGCACATTGTGTAAAGAGTTGTCACTTTGGATGGGCTATCACCAGCAGGAGAGTGAATTTGTGTGGTGGGG